TAACATAATGCTTGCATAGTCGGGTGTATGTCAATTTTGAACGAGGGAGAGAAATTTATTTGCAACTGTTAGTGCATCGGTTTGTGTTTGTAGGTGTAAAATATATTGTTATTATTATTAAAGTATGTATGCAAAATATGGAGGTTTCAAGGAGGTGATGCGTTTTAATCATTAAAACAAAACAAAAATCGTAAAAAATTATTGAAACCGATTAATAAAGTTATTAGGAAACTTTTTCGTACAACAGTTTTTGATCACATTAGTTGTGTCTTACGGAGGGTATACGAGGAGTATTACATTTTTAGATGTTAAACATCAAGAGTTACTTTTTACTTGAAATATATATTTTGTATTAATAATCATTATAATTATTAAAAGGTGCTTGGTCATGAATTACGTTTTTTAAATGATTGCTTGACCTGATGGACAAAAACTCTTCAATGTTAAGGAGTCACGCGAAAAGGGAGATGAAACAAGAAAAAAAAAAAAAAAAAAAAACATCGAGAGCCAAAGATTATACGAATAGGTGGATAGGTGTGGGTCCCATTCACCCTCTGTTTGAGAAATTCTTGGGCGCAATCGGTGCGCGGTGCTCAAGGTTATAGTTATGGTCCGTGTTTCCGAGACGAGAGACTGTGNTATATATTAACAGAAGAAACGACGCGAAAACAATGTTGTTTTACCTGGTTAATTGCGGATTCCTTTGGTATATAAATGCAGTGTGTATACGAGACCTGCGGAGCGCGAGTAATGAAAACGAGCTCTGTAAATTCAACGACTCGCCTGCGTACCCATAATAACTTTTCCGCTCCGAGGACTCAATTTCTGATTCATGCAGTTTTCCAATGGCGCGCGGACTGGCCGAGTTTCAGTTGAGAATCCGAAATTTGAGATAATAATTAATATACATACCGCCGTGAGCTTCAATCGGAGTTTTTGATGCTTGTGATTTTCAGTAATTTATATTACGTGGAAATTACTGGATGTTTCATTGCCGCAAGTGAGTATGGATTGATGTATAGTAATTTTTGTAATGCAAAAACATTGGGTGAGAAATTAAAGTTTGTGCAGAAGAGGAGTTTTTAGAAAATTTTTCTCTCTGCCTTTGATGAAATCTCTTAGTTATTAATTCTCACTAATTGCTGTAATCATATACTTTTTTTGTTTATTCGCACGCTATAAAATAAATTTTGAGTAATTTGAGAAGTTAGTTTTTCCCACGTAAAATACCACGTACGAGTAAAGTTACGTGCAAAAGAACTCTGGCACCGAAACCCCCCTTATCAAACACGAATTGAGCTTGAACAAAAAAAAAAAAAAAAAAAAAAGAAAAGAAAAAAAGCTGTATGCAAAGTTGCACGTATGGACACAAAATTGTAAAAACACGTTTAACCGGTAACGAGAGTTATTACAAAAACGCGTATGAGCGCGTCAAAGGGATTGTACGGAAAAAACCATACTGCGTAATTAATCCGCGTTTCGGCGCATATGCTGTCTCTCTCTCTTTGTAAATTGATTTTTCACGTTTAATTTATCATCCACGCCATACTATCTGTTGAAAATCCAAAACAAATATATCTTTTCATATGGTATTCGTCATGAATTCAGTGCACTGCTGATACGCGTTTAAATTGAAATTTTCCATTAAAAGATCGATTACAATATTGCCGTAGCTCTTGAAAACTAATTAAAAAAAAAAAACTTTGGTTGAATTAAATCGGTAGCCTATGCCAGAAGGGAGGGGAGGGGGACAAAAATCTCGGGAAAGCGATCAAAGTCTGTATGTATGTATGTATATATATATATATATTGAAATTTCATTAGTGCCTTTTTGCTTAAAATGGCAAAGTTGCTCGAGAGCGAAGAAAGGGAGTTTACCGCTCGCTTGGGGGGGGGGGATTAATTAAAAAAGAAAGTATCCCTCGGCGAGCCCGGTGCAACGTACACCCACAACCGAGTCGATAATCCGGTCATATACAGCTCGATGAAAATTAATCCGGGATCGGATGAGCGAGTTGTAAGGGTTTTACGAGAAAAAAATCTCCGAAAAAAACAATATAAGTACTGTCGTACCTCGCTTGACTTACGAATGAACAGTACACGGTGGCGGGGGGCACAAGTGAGCTGTTGCACGCGAGTTCAGTATATACACTTGAACTATGTCGTTTGTACGCGAATAGGGCACAAGCTGCTGGAGGCATCCCCTACCTGCGTATGGCTTGATATGACTATTGTTAGCCAGGGAGGAGTACACGGCTGGAATGCTATATTGGGACACGCACTTGTATGTAATGGAGGATGCGGTGGGTGTTCCTACATACGTTATATGTATAACCGGTACTTTGACGAAACGAAGCTTTGGTACACGGGAATAAAGGCGAGAGCGATAAATTGTACTAGTTGGCGAACGACGAGGGGAAAAGTTTTAGTCACCGGCTTAGGAATGCTATATGTATGCATGTACTTGAGAAACACAAAGGCAACGAGAACTACGAAGACGTAGCTTACGCGTGTATACATATACCTGCTCTAAGATAATTAGTTTCCGAGTATCCGGCATATGTGGAGCGGCGACATACGTATACAATGGTGTGGCTCTAGATGTGACATGTACGTGCTCCAAATTTGTGTAGCGTATCAACTATTAAATTATCTGAAACGAAGCAGAGATTGATTCGCAGAAATGAGAAACAGAAGCCGCGGTTGGATGGGGGGGGGGAGGGAGGGAAAAAAGAGGGGTGACCCGTTAAGCTAACGATTAGTCAAGAGAAATACTCGTGGGAAAGGCGAGCGAGGCAAACGGGAGAGAAAAAATTGCAAGGGGGAAAAGGGTGTACCCCGGGTGGGTATTATGCACAGACTCGACTCTTGTTTCTATTTTGCCTTTCCCTTCCTATACCTCTTTCGACGAAGGGAATTACACGACACTGGGTTGTATATTATACTGTCTAGGTGCAGTGTGGTGGAGGCGGGTTTCTTTCCTTCTTTGTCTTTTGCGCGAACGTGACTTACTTTTCTCTGGTGCGTCCTTCTCTCCTCTCGCGGGAGGAGATGGGCTCGTGTCGATATTCAAATTTATCGTGCTCCGCTGTAGGGTAGTGGTGTCAGGCATGGGAGATAAAAAAAAGGGTCGTCGCTTCTATTTTTTTTTTTTTTTTTTTTTTAGTTTGCTTTTGGAATCGGGTGATTGGTTTTCTCTGTTGATCGGATAGAGGGCTTTTTTTCGTTTTCATTGATTTTGATCGAGATACATCGGAGTTATGGAGATAGACGTATGTTCCGGCTTGGACACGATTACTTGATGGATTTTCAGTTTCAAAATAAACAAAGTTTTTTTCCCGAGTAAAAAGCATTGTTGTTGAACATTTTTTTTTTTTTCATCAAATAAGTATAATTTACAGTTCGTTACGAAGTAACTGAACCAAACTTTTAAATTACTTTTTCAATTATTCGATTGAAAATATTATTGGTATTCGAATTTTCAAATGAAAAAAGCCCCCGTGCCCAACTCTGCGTGCGTTTCTAGTTTAGCTGAATGGAAAAAGCTCATCATTATCTTAAAAATCTTTCAAACGAAACTGATATCTTGATGTATGAGTTGAGATTAAAAAAAAAAATAATAATAATAAAACAATAAACTAAGGCACCCATATCGAGAACCGCGCCATATGAATCCTTAAACGCGCGATTTCCCGAATAACGATTACTCTTTCACGAGTTCCACTTTATATCGGCGTATTTATATATCATCGCGTCTATAGCCCGTGTTTATATTTATACACGCCATACCACGTACAACACGCGGGTATAGATCTCATATCGCAAAAAATCGAACTTCCATGCGTATGGACTTCCACGTACTGCCATACAACAAACGAACGAGCCACCTCCACGAAAAAAGACGCGAGATTCTCCCTGAAAGGAGCTTACGAACAAACAGCTCAGCATCCCCCCATCGCCTGCATCAAATTTAAGCTCTGCACGACGCGTATAAGCCCAATCGTTTCTGAATTGCCCGCGCTTAATCACCACCAACCCACGACGACGACAATGCATTATGAATTTTGCTCCACATCGATTCTGCTCCGTGTGTTGTATATATACACGCTTTTACCCCTCGGGAGGATCCCCCAACCATATAAAATATAGAACAATCATCGTCATCGATACACCCTCGCACACAGCGATAATAATAGCCCATGGCGAGGGAGAAACGCAATATGGATGAAAACTAGCGGCAATTGATACGTCCATCGAGGCTTTCGTACCCTCGACTTTATTTACATGTGCGTAAAAGTGTTTGCGTATTTGCTTGGGCTAACTCTCCGATATACTCCCATTACTTTCTCATGCGATCAAACACATAATCAATCGTATATATGCGTATACCTGTATACACACCCGCGAATGGAAATATATATAGGGAGGGCAGATAATGACGGTGTTGTATTTAATCTATGTATACGCGCGGACGCTTCGCGTGATACTTACGTAGGTATGAGCGAGTGAAAGGCAATATACTATCTAGGGTAGGTACATACTATACAAGTAAGCGGGGGTTGATGATAAGCCGGGTAGGTTTAGGGGGGCGAGTTTATTATAATATGTTCTCCGAATGGTGTGGAAAAAATAAAATAAAAAAGATGAAAATTCGTCCTCCTTTTCGGTGTGTAAAATACTATCGAAAAATAAAATAAAAAGGGAATATGGGTGTCAATGCCGAGCGGTAGATTAATACTCTTTTTTTTTTTTTTTTTTTTTTTTTTCCTCCTTTGTGAGCGTGCTTCTCTTGTCCGTCCATGCGTGTACCGAAGCGGCAATTAGTCTCCCCTTCCTTTATTTCTGTTTTCTAGTAACCGGTTAATTATTATTCACGTGCACACGCGACCTATCATTTTACCTCAAATTCCAGTGGACGATGCGTTCCACCGTTGATGCGAAAGAAAGAAAAAAGTAATCGAGAGTATGCAGGTGAAATAAAAAAATGCTATTGGTTACAGGTACAAGGACAGTCGGCCGTACCCGTGGCCGGGCGGCGAGAGCAGCTTCATCTTGTACCCGGAGAGCGCCAATCAGACGATTTACACGCAGGAGGTCAAGCCATCCGACGCCGGGCGCTACTCCTGTCGGGCCCGCAACGACACGACCACCCTCGAGGGCGACATCACTCTCGCCATTCTTGGTAAGCTCTTTTTTCTTTTCTTTTTTTTTTCTCTCTCTTCCCTTCGCGTAGAATCGCCCCTCCCATCTATTTTATATCCCCATCGAGGCGTCCGGTGACTCATTTTGTCACATTTTTGGCCACCTATACGTCCAGACATCAAGTGCGAGGTACATGATCCCAAAACGCCGACGTGATCGAAAAACGCGGCCCACACCGATAAAAGCATCTTTATCGTATACTGTTATAGAATCGAGCGAGTATAAGCACTGTAAAATCAGATAACGCGAGGAGATAATATTCTATTTACCGCCGTCCGACATAATCCTGCGGTTATCATCCGCAAGAGATTAATTAATTTTCGCGGGACAAGACACGTGGTGCAGTGTGTAAATCGGTACATCGCGACATCGCGGAGACGTATGAAAGAGGAAAAAAAAAAGCCTCGCCTTCTCGCCTCGCAGTGAGTTTGTTTTTGCATTCCCGGGCTGAATGATCGTCATGAAGGGGGTAAGACGAGACCGCGCGCCTGCACGGCCCATAAGTATTATCTTCCGTTTCGCTCAATTGGATCGGTTCCCGCGGGTATAGGGCTACGGTAGCCGTATGGTTTTCACCTCCCCCTTCTACCCTCTGTTCTCGATCTACATCACCTCGCGCGACCGCACGTGCTCTCACATACATATACATGCTGGTGATGATGTGTGTTTTATCGAGGTATTTGATTGCAAAGAGGAAGTGGAAGGTGGAGAAGTGATAATATGATAATCGGTCCCTATCTGTTGCCGGTGTTGTTGTCGGGATAGTGTCGGACTTTGGACGGAAGAGCAGTCTCGGGTTCGCTGACTGATACGCGCCCCCTGCGTGTGCGAGTGTGTGTGCGTGTGTATGTACAATCGATCGCTAAGCCACGGTCGAATAGAAATTCGTCATGATTTTTTTTCCCTTTTTTTTTTAACCGAGTGATTTTTTAAAAATCAAGGACACAGCCCTTCGACACCACGGTGCATCACAATGCCTAGACCATGGCCTACTAATTAAAAAAAAAAAAAAAAACTTGTTCGATAAAACTGCCCAACCTCGTTAAAGACTCGCCATCGCTCGAATCAATCTTGTACACACTCAGCTAAAGGAAAAAAAAAAAAAAAAAAAAAAAAAAACTGGAGCCAGATACCTCGGGCCGTCAGGTGCGATTTCTCGCTGTACCCTCAGTGTACGACATGCGTCGTACCACCCACCCGCCCAGGGGGGGAACAAAAGAAAAAACCCATCGGTAGTAACTTGCAGAACGGAGCATGTACGTGTATACCTGCCCGGCAATTTGTGCCCTCAAGGACCCACACTCTTCCCTCTAATCCCCGCCACCAGCAGCGACACCACTCCCCCCGGGCAATTATCCCAGAGTCACCCCTTGTGTCTCTCCGTGTCGTGTGTGCACATCTTACATTCCTCTCCTCCTCTTAATTAAGCCCAAAGCCCGCATCTACATGTATACACGTGGACCACTTGCATTGCAACGAGACAAGACACAAGCGCCGATAAGACCAAGAGGAAAGAGGGCAAAGTAAAAAAAAAAAAAAAAAAAGAAAAAGTAAGCGAAAGGAGCTCCCTCCGTGGCTTCCATTAAAAGTAATCTGTCTCGCGGGTCGCGAGTCACGAAATCCCTCCACCTCCTCCCTTTTTTTGTCCCATCTCTCGCGGCACGACTTCTCCCCATCGTGTTTCTCGTTCTGCTGGCCCATTGCGCGCCAAAGTCGCCGATCGGTTCCACCGGACGACGTTATGGCCTCCGCCACCCGCGAGAGCACCCCTCGCATTTTTACTTCTTCCCATGCACGTGCACGCTACGCGACATATCTTTTTTATACGTTTGTTCCCGCAAAAGTGTATGTATAGAGCTCGTACGGTGGCTCGCTGCTCAAATCCGCGAACCAGCACTCAAACGAGTGGAAAAAGCCCCGCAGGTAACGCCGCGGAAGGAAATAAAACGTAAAAAAAAGAAAAAAACGGAAAAGAAAGGCGCGTTTGCTCCTACATCCTGCGAATAATTTTTCCTCCTTTTCCTTCCGACTCGAATTTTCCGCCCCTTTTACCTCCGAAGCAAAGGAACTTTCAAACGGAGGAGGCGCACATATAATCCCGAGTTCGCTCACCTAATTACCTCATGTGTATATATACCTCGGGGTGTTTCTTCCTTTTCTTCCCCCCCCTCGCTTTGATCCACCGACAAAGTTGATCGTACCCCCCCCCCCCTCGCAGGAGTTCGCGATACACGGGCGCACACTTTTCCGAATTTCGACCAACGGGCGTGGGGTTGTTTGTGTACTTGGCGCGCGCTTATGAACTTTGCAAGTTTTTCCCAGGCGCCGATGCCTCGCTTGCATGCACACACAACCCGAGCAGGAGTCGGACAGCTGAGAGAAATACACCAAGTTGGCGGCTCGAGCTTTTCGATCGTGAAAGCCCATCGGGGGCAACTTACCATCCCCTTTCTTTCGACTCTATATGGTTATTGCATCTCCCATCGGGTCTGTATACGTATATCCCTGTGCATACGTATGCGTCAGATGTTTAATACACGTGCACGATGGGGCGAGAGTTCACGAGTCCGTGATTCAATTAGTGCGGCCGGGGAGCAAAGTGTGTGTGTAAGGTATACAGGTATGCCTTTACGAGCAAGAAGCTAATACAGCGAGGGTCCACCGGTAGATTAAGCCGAAGGGGAACAGAGAGGCTGGCGGTCAATTAAGGCCGTCGTATCTTATTCCGCAGTGGCTTGACGAGGCGGAGCACAGTCAGGGCAAAAGGGGTGGGACAGGACTCTCTTCTTATTAAAGACTATATACACGGCTGTACGCGTCTCCTCGCCCGATGCCACTGTCTTCTGTGTCAGCCGAACGCGGATGTATACCTACTACTGTTATTACCCCAAATTGGATGGCAATCCACTCCCATACTACCTGTTATTATTATATACGTACATTGAACTAAATTTTGGAACATGATTATAAACTCCCCTATTTTTTTTTTCTCCCCACTTGCTCTATATTTTAATACTTTCGACGTCGTTAATGTCATCTTCATAACTTAAAGGTGCGAGTGTATGTGTAAATAATTGCAATTTGCTGCTTTGAAAAGGGTCGTATGTTACATCGAGCAGCTAATTTGGCGTCCTGGCATCTTCAAGTTATACGTAGTCCTGATGACGATGAAAATTTGACAAGTTAATAATATTAATGTCCCTGTAATGTTGAATCCGGAATTAAAGAACCTACCCCTCGTGAAAATACGCAACTGAATCTTTCATGAATTTTGATTGAAAAAGTTTTTAAGACGCGATCATACCAGATTTGCCATTTTACCAACATTCCACTCGAGCTCCCCTTCGTCACCTCGTTCTTCGACAACATTGTAATGCCCCCCTCCGCTTGCAGTCTCACCCACAGCCATCCACGTGATAATGCTTTTTACCTTGTAGCTCTCGCCAATGGCTCTGCATGACCCAGACTTGTGTCTGGGATGACAGTATATATATTATGTGCGTATATTCATACGAATCGCTTCCAAGAACCAACTCTCCCTCGCACCCAGCGTCTCTCGTTTCCGTTTTCGCGCCGGTCTCTCTCGCACGGTCTCCTTCGGCCCTAAGCTCCCGCGTTCATTTTTAATCCCCTTTCGATCGATATATACTCGCATCCTCTTTTTTATTTTTATTTATTTTTTTTTAGCTCGCCACTCTCTTTTTACCGGATGGAGACAAAACTCGTGGGAGTATTGGGAAGCTCTCCCTGTCCTGTCGTTCACCTGTCATTAATCGTAATTGCACGCCTGCCGCGTTTGTCGTTACGTCTTGCAGTTTTCTCGGAACGATAAAAATACTTGAAGCCCCCCTATTTTTTTGTTCGTCTATCGTTTTGGATTCGCATCGACAACTGAAAAATGATCCAACGCCTCAGGGAACAACAACGAACCCTTTGCACCTTTGTACTCGCGCGTCTACGAGATACTTTTTTTTTCATCGATGCATCGATCCTTTTTTCTTCTTTTTATTATTTCAAGAGACCAGATTACCACGCCTAGTTTAACGTATACCGCAAATTTTTATCTCTTCAGCTTAACTTGCGAGCTACATCTAATCGCTTTTCGCTTCCTCGTAACGCACGTTTCATTATACCGAGGACAAAGTGTTTACGTTGCCCTTACATCTACCACAACCAAAGTGCAACAAGTGCGCGGAGGTTATTCGTGCGCTGGCCATACATACGCACATATTACATACACCGCTGGAAAAAAAAAAAAGCTCGATGTTGGATAGATAAGGATTAGCTTCCAGGTAGGGATGGTGAGTGTGTAATGCGAACCGCTTGGGTACGCATAAATTGTGTGTTCACGCGACGATGACGAGCAGTGGTGCAAAAAAAAGACCATTTGTTTACCGTTGAACTTTATGGGTGTATAGTTACGGCTTGTGTTTAATTTATTTGTCTTACGAAGGAGGAAGAAGAGCTTTGTTCTTATAAAGCGTGCCTCTTCTTGTTATCGAGGGGAGGAAGGTGCCCCTCCCCCTTTTTTCTTCTGTTATTTCCGCCACTAGCACAAATTTGTATGCGTACAAAGTGCCTCGTGATTCTGTGAAACACGCCTTGGCGCGGAATTTCTCGATGGGCTTTGCTTTTAATTTTTCTCCTTCGCGAGCGAGGGGCTTATTAAAACTAATTGCTAAGTTTTCCTAGAGTATAGGAAGAACATTTTTATTTCTCTTTTTTTTCTTTTTCAACTTCTTTGTGCCTACTACTATTTTTACCGGTTGAAGGATGATGGCAGGTATACGGCGTGTGCTTTTAGTTTATTGTTCAATCTCTTTTCAATTAAATAAGTGAAACTAAAATATATTACTTTGGGTGTTAAAATAAAATTGTTGTAAATTATCAAGTGATTGCCGATAAACTTATTGGTATGAAAATTTAAATTGAACTGATCAAACAACATCAAAAATCAGGGAAACTGATCAAACAATCTAATTTTTTTTTTTTTTACCAAACTAAAAAAAATGATACTCTCCGTTTGAGCCAAAAACTCTTCCAATTGAACAAAACGCGAGTCATTGTTATAGTATGTAAAAACCTACAAAATTGCACGTCACTTATAATCTATTACACTCCTCGGCAACAACGCGCTCGCGACCAAAAAAGGAAAACGACGAGATCCTTCCATTTTTCTCTGCCGCTTGACTCCACGCCAGACCGTATATGCATATATGTATATATGTCCTTTGATAGTCGCAACGACTCGCGTATAACCCCCGGTATACGCGGAAATCCCGTGAGTCCGCGGTATTTGTCAAACAGTATTACACAGCTCTCCGGGTGACGTATAAGTAGGTGTACCCCCTCGTCCCTCTCTCTCTTCGTTGCCACACTGCATCACACACGCCAGTAATCCTTCTTCTTCTGTACCTGTCAATGCAGGCGAGTGCCATACATGTATATGCGAACGGAAAAAATAGAGAGAGAGAGAGAGAGCCTTTGAAATTGGAATCTCGCGTACGTCTTGCGTCACTACATATTATATATAGGTACCCATGCACGCGGCGTCGAGACTATTGTCTCCTGCACTCGCATACATCACGAGCCCCGTTCCTCTCGCTCCTCTGAACAATACGTATATTTATTTCTCTATTATCTGACGTTTCGTACCTACGCTTGCTTGACACTTTTTTTTTTTTTTTTATTTCTTTTACTTTCAATTTTCAATACTGTCGAGCTGCAACGCGACTTAATTTTACATACGCGTCTTTGATATCTGAGCGACGCGTCGTGGTGCGGGGAGAGGCAAAACTGGATCTCCCGCGGCGTGACAAATTTCGCTGAAATTTCGGGGCTAAGTATACGAGTCGTCGCTTCGCTTCGAGTTATTACGCCGATGAGTTCGGTTTACCCCCTCTAAAAGCAGGTAATTAATCCACGGCACGTACAGGGAGTATGATTTATAAATAATAAAAAAAAATACATCCTTCGTTATTCACCTTCGGTAAATAGCAGGCGGTGTGTTTCCATTGCACTCAAACGCGCACGGAGAGTTTCCATTGGAGGGGGGGGGGGGGCGAAGGAGACTTGGTAATCCATTTTCCGTAATCTCGCGCTTTTTCGCGCGTCCCTTTCTTATTTCCCAACTAAGTGTGTTTATATGTATTTACACCCCCCCACCCTACGACTTTATACAAATACACCCATAGAGCATCCAACAACGCTTTAAAAGCATTTTATTCCATCGCGCGAGAGAGCCGGCAGCTGCTCCACAGGGCTCTCTCGAGCAAACTTTCTTTTTTTTTTTTTTTTTTCTAGGTAAGTAGTGTTTTCTTTCCTAATCCTTCCTTGTCTTGGGAATAATTGTTTTCGCGAGAGTTCATCCGATGTACATTGTTTGACTTTTCGATGCAAACTCTTCTGAGCCAATGTCGCCAATTTAATCATCGCGAGTGCCGATTTAACGGTACGCTTTTTTTTTTTTTTTTTTTTTTTTTATTGCTAAAAAAATTGTTTACGTCAATTACCGTGATTGATGACATTTTCACGGAGAAGTAACCGCGTAGCGATCGAAATTTTCAATTTTCCGCTTTTCTTTTTTTCTTTTTTTTTTTAACCGCAAATGAGGTCTATAAATTACGTTTCAGCCGCCCATCGGGTGCTTACACAAGAGCTAATGTCCTATACGGGCGCGCTCTGAGAACGGGGGGGGGGGGAGAAAGAGAGAGATCTCCTCTCGATAAACCCGTTCATCCGAGTGAAACTTCTCCTATGTTTTTTCAACTGCAGCTCAATTAACAGATCGCCGCGTTCGGCTCGTAATTAAACTCAGACTATAGACTGCTCTCGCGTGTAGGACGACGACGACGGGGGAAAATAAGGCGGTGGGGGGGGGGTGAGGGTTTTCAATTGCCTCGGATGCTCGTGGGGCCGTCGCGTCGTCACGTACCCAGTAACGAACTTGGCTCTCTCTAAAGGGTGGATTCGATTTTGTTGGGATGAAAATTTTCGCAAACTTGATTCCCCCACCCCCCTAACCCGGCTTGTTGGTTATTCGACTCTTGTCCCGTCCTCCGAATATCCGTTTTTTTTTCCTTTGGGTTTTATTTATTTTAGCCCTTCCCCTTTCGCTCTGATTTCGTTGGGATGCGCTTTTGCAGCGCGACCAGAATATATCAAGGGTCTATACTCCTTTTTTTTTTTTTTTTTCTTCTCTCCCCTTCCCCAAGAGCGTTTATTGCCATTAAATAACCGTATCACGCTATCCCTCCAATATTTGACGAGAGCAAATCGACGTAATGGCAACCGTGTGGTTTTGGATTGATCATCGATGGCTGTGCGATTTCCATTAGTGTTTGACGACCGATTATCTGATAATTCGCGGTTTGTCGAACTAATGGATTTTGCTCGATAATCGTGGTAAAACCGAGTGAAAATAATGGAAGATGAGGCAGGAATAAAGAAAAGAGAGACCGGAGTGACATCGAAAGAGTCGAAAAAAAGTTGTGTACAAGAGGGAACTTTGTAGCAGGTATAGCCTGTACATGTGATGCATTGACAGGGACTCCAAAGTTTATATATGCCCTAGCGAATGTGCTGACACACACGAGAGCAGTACTATATAATGCGGCTGCAGAATTGGGATTCGGACTCGCTGTCGTTTCGCTTGCGACTGCACGTGTGTTTTCTCCGTCGCGGTAATTTTCAAGCTTCGCTCGTTTTTTACATCAGTACCCGCCGTCCTGTTTGTACGTGTTGGAAAAAAAGAAGGAAAGAACGAAAAAGCTTTGCGATGCACGTACATCCATCAACGTTGCCTTCGAATTTCGGGGGGACGCGATGACGTTTCGGTGTGCACACGTGTACGACGCGAATCGTTGATCACTCAATTTTTCAGGAAACTGACGCTTTGAGAGGCGAGGGGTTTTTTTTCGCGCACCACCGAGAGAGTCTCCCTCTGTTTTTCCTCTGTTTGCGCGCCACGGTGATTGAGGGGACTCCCTTTGTGCTGTGCGTGCTAGTCGATTTTTTTTTTTTTTTTGACGACGATACGCTCAGTTTGGCGAGTGTTGCTTTTCGTTTTGTCCAGCTAAACTGTATGCGTACACGTGTTTCTGTGAGAGGTATTGTTCTAATTTGGCCATCGGTCACATACACCAGTATGGGCCAATTTAAAGTTTTTCCATGACGTTTTTTCATAACTTTTTTTTTTTTATGCCCTCTATCACAGCTCACTTCAAATCCGTTTTTTATTTACGAATTTTCGTAAAATCTCCACAATCAAAGTTAAATGTTGATTATACATTTTGTAAGATATGTGGCGCTGTTTTTTTTAGATATACAGTTTCGGACGTTACTTAGATATGTATTTATTGAGGAATCTATTGTCATAAAAATCACCTAAAAAATTAAAAAATTACCTCCTGTATTTGTTATTCATAGCGGAAAACGTGTAACCAACAGCAGCTGTATAGTAAATGGTCAAAACGACGTAACATAACTGTATTAAATTTAATACCCCCGCAACAACGATGATAATAATAGTAATGGTAAACAAATTCATGGTTTCCAGGTGGTAGTTCAAACGACTACAGAGGCAGGCCCCTGCCGACCTACAGGCCGTCCTCGCAGCTGGTGCCGCTCGCGGGTAGGGCGCGACTCTTTTGCGAGGCCTACATCGGCCGGGCTCCGATGCCAGACGCCGCAATCTCCGTCACCTGGAGAAAGGCCAACAGCAACGCCACCTTTCCCGTCGGCTACGATCGCATCTCGCACATCCGAGCCTCGCGGTAAGTACTTTTTACATTGTTTTTTATTTATTCATTTTTTTGCCCGTGTCACCTCCTCCAACAATCACGGAAAAAGAGGGACGGAAAATCAGAGCACATTCCCGCGGTACGCTCGATCATCATCACTCTCCCGGCAGAAAAAATCTGAGCCTGCACGGGCGACTCGAGTCTCCCTCGGGACTCAACCGAGCTCGCGCCACCCGTTTCTGCTAATACGTCCTCCTTTAGCTTTTCCGCGAACAAAAGCTCCCTCCCTCGCGCGGACCTTTTGTCGAGAACTCATTTGTTACTGTCGCTAATACTCGCTGCGCTTGCCGTGTTTTTTTCACTTCTATACCCGAGTGCATTAGTTTTCATCATCGCACCCCCTTATTTTTAATTTCACACCCCGAGTGTCTATGCGTCCATGATAAATGGCAAGTATTTTTCCGTGCCCACGGCTACCGGGGAATTTTGCCGTGCGCAATATTAAATTGGTTGGCGTTTCACCTGGAAACAAAGTTAAAACAACTAGTATACGCACAGTACGGATTCCATCCGATTGCCGGCAACTATCTGGACTCGCGGATCCACAAGAGAGGTATGTTGTACTCTGGTCTAATACAACAACCAAGCGTCCCCTTTTTGATATTTTTATCAGTATAATGTAACGATGTGCTCATTGCAAGTGAATTATTTTCGGTTTTATTCTTGTAGTGCATACTGTATATACGTATGTACGATAATTTGACTGACGCGAGCTAGGAATAAGCGGAACGTGAATAGTTCGCCAAATTTACCGGCGAGGCAGAATCAACTTGGTATAGTTTCTGGAACAATTCATCTATGCGTTTTATCGTTGTCGATCCCATTTGTTTCGTGTATCTACTATTTGCATCGACGGGCTGGGAACTCTTGAAGCCTCGATAAATGGTCCTAAGTGTTTTTTAATGACTCCAAGAGTGCGCAGCTCCTCGATTAGCATTGGATAAAAGTTCGTGTTGGTTGCCATAACGTCAAGGTATCTTTTTTTTTTTTTTTTTTTTTTTCCTCCGGCCAATTAAAGTTACGAGAGATGTGCTCCTCAAACGGGCATTACGATCTTGTAAAAAGAAAGTATATATATATACAAGTATAGCTCGTTATCGAAAAGTGCGCCACAAAAAAAAGAGAATGAAGAGAAAAAAGCACTTGAAATGAACTTTGTCGCGTGTGGAGCAATTGCAAAACAATTCGAGCCAAACAACTGGAAACGTGAAATTCCGTCAGGGTTTGTAATGGGTGTACGCACGTAAGCACCGTACGGGATTCCACGGCACGCGCGCTCACTCGTTGATGCAACAACAAATCGGTGCAAATAAACGTGCCATTACCTCATTTGCGCGAGACTCGCATTGCTCGCGTAATCTATTTTTTTTTTTTTTTTTTTTTCTTTTCTCCCCTTCCCCAAGAGCGTTTATTGCCATTAAATAACCGTATCACGCTATCCCTCCAATATTTGACGAGAGCAAATCGACGTAATGGCAACCGTGTGGTTTTGGNCTCGCGTAATCTATTTTTTTTTTTTTTTTTTTTTTTTTTACGTTTTCCACAAATTTTTAATGAGTTTTGGGAACGCGACGCTGAGAGGGAAAAAAAAAGACGCGTCGGTCAACCTTCCCTCGTCCCGTCACGTAACCAAGTCGCGCGATCATTAACGAAAGCGAAAACACCGCGATCTCACTTTCCTCCGCGTGCCTTTATTTTCGCAAAAAAGAAAAATCCTCTCACGCTTTCGAGAAGGAAAGAAAAAAAGGAAATAAACCGCGATGTGGGTCCAGATATACTTTAGGTCCGCTCGGACGCGCGTTATTACGTGCATAATGCGCTGTTGCAGCGGTCAAAGAGGCGTGGTATTGTGTGGCGGCAAGTATGCGCGATCCGAGCCGCTGATTTCTCGCTCTCGCGTTCGCAGAAGTAACTCGCTCGCAAGGGAGGAATCTTCTCTCTCTCTCTCTCTCTCCCTGCAATGCAGCTCCGGTCACGCGCGCTTGGAGCATCGCTCTTTTTTTTTTTTTTTTTTTTTCTTTTTTCCCCTTCCCCTTGCTTTACACTTTTTTTTTTTTTTTTTTATTTCTTTTACTTTCAATTTTCAATACTGTCGAGCTGCAACGCGACTTAATTTTACATACGCGTCTTTGATATCTGAGCGACGCGTCGTGGTGCGGGGAGAGGCAAAACTGGATCTCCCGCGGCGTGACAAATTTCGCTGAAATTTCGGGGCTAAGTATACGAGTNGCGCGCTTGGAGCATCGCTCTTTTTTTTTTTTTTTTTCTCTTCTTTCATGCACATCGATTTATGAGTTAGCTGCGCGCTCTTTTGCAATCGGGTTTTCCATCTCGATTAACATTTTTTTTTTCCCTCACGTCCCAAGGATCGAGCGGTGCGTTTCTTCTTTCGATAATACAGATATCGAAAGATATTTTTTCTTTTTTTTTTTTTTTTTTCAAGGCGAAGAGGATTCTATAAGGAACGAGAGAGATTTTTATTTCCATTATATACGTGTAGACTCGATAGATACGAGAAGATTTATATACGTACGCCGTAATGATAAATCTGCAGAAATTCGACAGAGTGTAATAACTTTTCGAGGAGACACATCCCATCATCTTCTTATTACACGCGGAAACCTTTTTCTTCTTGTTCGTCTGGTCTTTTGTGTCGACTTACTTTGTGAAGAAAAAAAAAAAAAAAAAAAAAAAAGAAAAAAATTAATACATCCAGCAAGAAAAATATATCTATTATATAGTTCATCACATCCGCATCGAAAGCATCCCCGGTGCTATTGTATATTATATATATATACATGATACCGGGAATCAAAAACTTATTTTCCTCCTCGTGAGTTTTTTCTCTTACCTGCATCTTTGCGATTGGAAATTTTTTTCATTCATCCTTGCTGCGTTTTTTTTCCACTCGCCGAGGGATACAACCTACAGAGAGGAATAACCCCCTTTTCTCTCCTTCCTCGTTTACTCGGGAGATGCGCACGGCTCTGCGTTTCGATGTCCGAATAAAAGTTGTACCTTCGATAGCCAAAGGAGCGTGGAAAGTCTCATTATTCACCGAAACAGCAATCACATAAATGGAAGTGAAAATTCGTCCAAAGTTGCTCACTTTCATTTTTTATTAAAAACTAGCCCCCACACCATCGCCCTTTTATTCATGTTTTAAATTTTTTGTTTTTTTAGTAACCCCCGTTTTTTGCCCTCCCCATCGGTCTCTCTCGTATAGTAATATTAAATTTTTTCCAAAAGCGAATAGGTATACATGGACGATTCGAGCGTATCAGAAAACAAATTACACCACAAACGAAATTTTCAATAGAGCCATCGTTTGAGCTCTCCTTCTATGTGTATACCTCTACCCATGGTTGCAACGCATGCCAATTAACGAAGCTTTCAGTTCCCGAGTGATTTAACTTAAAAATCATTTTTTTTACATCGACAATAACAGCAACAACGTCACGATCACGTTACCCACACATAATATGATACAGGTATTTTTTCCAAAACTGTATCCACAAACCGATAAACGATCTCGCTCGTGCGTGTCCATATGCTATGGTGTGTACGTAACAGCTCCGGCCACCGCAGCATTTATTAAAGTGGCCATCATTACTCTTTGCATGTGTACCTGCACCACTAACTCTTATCGAGTCGAAAGGGATATGGAAAACAATGAAGGCCCCAAGGGTCAGTCCGTAGCGATAGAGCTCTGGAGGAAAAAAAAAAAAAAAAAAAAATAGAAAAAGGATAAGGGCCAAGGGGAGGCGATAAGGCGATTCTGGTTCGGTTTCAGGGAGCGAGCTTTTATCCGACTTTTTGCAGGGGCAAAGCGCACGAGCTGCTCTCTTCTCGAGTGTCTCTGATTCTCGGATAGCAAAAGGGGGGGAGGAGGGATGGTTGTGCACCAGGAGGAACGGATAAGGAAAGACGGAAGTGGAGGAGAGAAGGAACAAAGCCTGCACGAGAAAGAGGAGGCGCTGCTATTATATACGTGGCTGGCGCGTGACTTTGTGCCCGTACACATATACCTACAGCGTATGCGCAATGGAGAGGGATGTGATGGTTTTACTCGCTGTTTTTTGTTGTTGTCCATGCTCCCTCGTTGTTAAAGTGACATTGCGGGGTTTTTTTTTCTTATTACTTTTCTAGGCTAAAACTGCGGTGCTCTGAATACAAGTACACCCACGTATCCAAGAGTTTTTGTGAAATCCACCCCATCCTAAATTTCGATCAAAATCTCCCTTTTTTTTTCTCGAAGGATTAACACGAGAAGACGATACTAATGCAAAATCGTGTGCCACGACAATGTCTTGGGGACTTATACAGTGAAGCGCGTCTCGTTTGTTGCTCCTAAACAAAAGATGATTCACGAGCTCGTGAATCTAAAAAATCTCCCAGATTATATATAGTCCCGCAAAGTAAAATGTTGCCACGCGCGCCAGACACCGAGTGTACATCGCACAAATATATATTCGCGCGATTGTACTTACAAGCCGAGAGAGAGAGAGAGTGTTGAGAAAAAAAAAAGTTGAGTCTGCAGCGACGCGCAAGAACAAAGGCCTGTAAAGCAAGGGAATATAATGTAGTCCTCCCTCCCCCCACCCACACCTCGGTAATGTATATATACCTGTAGAGCATATGGCGCGTATCCTTGGTGTAATGGGTGGTCCACGAGCTTCATCCGCGCAGTCATCGAGCCCCTCTGCCTTTCCACCTCGTTTGTTGCACGTATATATTATACTGTGTATACGGTGTCGAGATGACGACGCTTCTATATATTATACCTGTACACTCGCTTGCTCGATGTGATTGTAAGCGACGTGGTTATACCTCCTTGTCTCGACGTCGCGACGATGTGGTTTTTTGGAAGAGAAAGGGCGTACATGGATAGGTTGAACCGCGGGGACTCGAGTTTCGTCGTGGGAGGAACATTTTTTGCGGAGCATTGAAAAAAAAAAAAAAAAAAAAGGGTATCTAGACTGGTGAATTAGGACAATAGGTACAATTATCACTCGCGTGTGGAAAAATAACGACCCTCGCAGTAACAACACTGTCCCTTGTATTAAAATCAACAGAAAACAAAAAAGGAAAAAGGAAAAACAAAGGGTTTCCTTGGCAATTTTCTTGGGAAAAAAAAAAAAAAACTTGAAATCCCCGTGGAGAGATAGAGTCAAGCCGTAATGTCCTTTCGTTTGAGGGGATTTCAATTTCTCGTCCCTGCGTCGCTCCGGCATATAATTGCAGCTCCCTGAGCTTGCTTATTACTTTTCTTTGCCGAGCGCAACTTTTAACTGCATTAAATCGCCTTTGACGAACTTTTCATGCGAATCCCGACGCAAAAAGAAAGATAGAAGAATTAAACAACGCACCACCGCGACGATAATAAGTAGAAACTTTGTTTGTTCCTCCTCCGCTGTGCCGTACGTATACTCTTTTTTTTCCAAAAGCATCTGTTTGTTAATTAAAACTCGGTAATTCGATAACTGCGATTTCCCAACAAAGCCGAAAACGCGACGTCAAGGCCGCTTACGGTGTAATTATTTACTCGTACAAGTACAGGTACGGCAACACGTGTATAGTTTGGAGTTGCAAGCTCGGACGAAAAGGCACGTGGAAGCTGCTACGACTTTATACCTCGGATAAAGACTTAATGATCCCTAACCATATACACGTCGGCACCAACCTACGAGCTCATGTGTGTAGCGTATAACAGCTCGTCAATTTGGATTTTTTTTTTTTTATCCTCGACCTGTTATTTCACCCATACACTTGTTTTGCGCGTGAAATTTTGAAACAGCGGCTCTTTTACCGTCGTCACCTAAGCACGACAAGTAAAGCTAAGCTCAATCGGCCCCATGAGTGTACTTTTTTCTTGCTTTTTTTTTCGTCCTCCAACTCGCGTCGATCGTTAAAAACGGTCATCTCGAGCGCGCCGAACCGTAAGGCAAACAGAGCGACGTGGAAAAAAAAAGGCACCGCGCCACACCCGTCTTCCGGTCCCAATAAGGTGTGCACGCGCTAATTAAATTAGCGAGTCGCGCGCGCGGAGAAAAGGTCCAATTATCATTTCAAGCGCGTAATTTTAATATTTCCTCGTTTTCGGTCGCAAAGCGTGGGAACCTACGCTGTTTTTTTTTCCTCCCCCCTAATACTCCTGTTAATTTTGTTGGGAAAGGAAAAAAAAAAAAAAGACGGAGTCTCCTTTCCCCGTTTGTAATTTTTTTTTTTTTTACGCTTATTGTACATCCTTCCTCCTCGAGTTTTCAAGAGCTCCGCACTTGGCTGTTTCAAGTGTATAGGTGCAATGGCCCGAAACAGCCGTACGAATTTATTCGCGCCGAAAATACACCCCGAGGGCGTGCGATTTGATACCGCAATGGAGATAAAAGAGCGGCTCTCGAGGTATCAAAGCCCAGACGCGCACTTGCGAGCGAGTGCGTCAATCGAGCGACGCTTATGGGCTCTTTTAGTTTAATATATATAGATACACGTGTGCACGGGAAGTCAATATAATCGAGTTGTTTTTTTTTTTTTTTTGTTGGCGTTTACAGGGACAAAGGCCAGATCGTCGGGGCGTACCTGGTGATCGAAGACGTAGCTCTCGAGGACTACGGCGAGTACATATGCCAGATCAGCAACGGCATCGCCGACGACGAGGTCAAGATATTCGTCCACCTGTACCGCCAAGGTAAGCCAAGCGAGGGGAAACAACAAACTATCTACTCATGTGAAAAAAAAAAAAAAAACAATAATCTTTTAATTTGTTGCAGAGTCCCAGCTGACGTTCGCCACGTCAAACGGCTCGTGGCACAAGTCGTTGCTCCTGTCGCTGCTCGTGCTCGTCCTCCTGCTCTCGGCCGCGGCGTTTTTCGCTCGCTGCTGGCTGCCCCTGACGCTTTTTTTTCGCGACAAATTCTCACCCCTCGAGAAAGATGGTAATTTTTTTTTTTTTCCCCTTTTCCTTTCTTTCTCAATCACTCATAAATGCCGTCGATACGTCACACGAACGTCCCATCGCGTTGCGTGCATGTTTTATAAGTTTACATACATAGGGACACGAGGAGCTAAATATAACGTGTGTCCGGTGCGCGCTGCATTATTCATCGTGTGCCTCTACTTCGTCGACCATTTTTTTTTTTTTCTTTTTTTTTCTATTCCTCGCGTTCGTTCGAACAAAATCCCCTTATAAATAATAAAACACGTATACACTCCTCCACCTGCTTATACGCGTGTATATATACATATTCCACCTTCGGGGAAAGCGTCAACGTACGGAGGAAATAAAGCACAAAAAGTCGGGTCATCGATAACAACGCGCGTGCCAAGTGAATCATTTTTTCCGTGTCTGAGCACCTGCGGCGCTTAAAATGCGAAATTAGCTCGCGTACCGTGATAAATATTGAACGCAGCCACGCTTCCTCGTATTTTTCATCGTCTCCGGAGAAGAGAAAAAAAAAAAAAAAACGCTGAGGTGTATGTATAGTTGGATGGAAAAACCGGTTCCCTCTGCTCGCGGTAATCGCTCGGTTGCGCAATTCACGCCCGCACAATACACGCCGCAGTGAATTTTCGTCGCATCCGAAATTCCGTTCGGCATGCAAAAGCGACTCCGTTGCGTGCACACCTGTGAATACTCGCAGCGTGCAAAATTTTTGTATTCATCCGCCGGTTATTGTTCAGCCAGTGCCGCACGAAACGATTTCCATACTTGCAAATCACAAAGTACCATACATTTTCTTTTTTTTTTTTTATTTTTTCATTTTTTTTTAATTCCAGATGGCAAGGATTGCGACGCTTTGGTCTGCTACCACGAGAAGGACACGAATTTGGCCGTCCACGTGGTCATATCGACGCTCGAGACGAGGCACCGCTACAAGTGCGCTTCCCTCGAGCTCTCCAGCCTCAGCGAGCACTGTGAGTCTAAAACCGATCGATTTCCGTCCCTCCCTTTGCTCCTCTAGCTCTACTCAAACTCGACCGGCGCCGCGATCCCTCCGACCCGTCAAATTTAATTACGAACCAAGGAGTTGCTTGTGCAAACGCATCGCCTTCTCGGATGTTAAACTCCTCCCCCCCTTCTCTCTCTCTGCGCGAGCCGGAAAACTGAGGAGAAAACTCGCCATTTCATCGTTTCGCAAAAACAATACGCGTCGTTTTCCTTTTCATTTCCCCCCCCCCCCCTTGCAAGGACAATGTCTTTGGGTACAATCTTACGCGACTGGGTAATTAGCCGGTCGGCCCACCCCGAACGAGGTCTCAATTGCAGCAGTTTGTTTCTTGCAAAGGCTTAAAAGGATTAATTTTACCTTTCGATTTTCAATGAAACAAAATACAGGAAGAGGGAAGGAGAAAAAAAAAAACTGACGCAAAATGCATTTGCAGGGATCCGGGAGATAAGCCCGCACGCAGCCCGAGCCCGGCGCGTGCTCGTCATCATGAGCCCCGAGTCCCTCTCGAACAACTGGACGGAGTCTAACGTGAGCCAAGTGCTGAAGCAGCTGTCGAGCTTGAGCGTGTCGCGGGCGATAGTCGTCGCCCTGAGGGACGTGCCCACCTCGCCGGTCCTTGCCAAGAGCAGCCGAGCGACGAGCGGCCACAAGGTCCGCACTCCGGAGCTGGTCGCGGGCCCGGAGGTTCTGCGCTGGCGCAACGAGCGGGGCTTCTGGCACAGGCTGAGGCTCGCCCTGCCGGCCGCGAGGGCCCCGGCCAGGCTGCCGGCGAGCTCGGAGTCGAGCGTCGTCGTGACCGGCAGTCAGAGGACGATGATCGTCCATCAAGTCGGCGGCGCCGTGGTTGGTCAGCAGAAGGCGAGATCGAGGGAGAGCCTGGAGGTGCTCGTGTAGAACGAGGAGAGCTCCAGCGACTGCGAGACCGTCTTTCTTTGAGTCGGCTATGGGTTTCGGATCGGCTCTTCTCCTTCTTGTTGTTGTTGTTGTTGTTGTTGTTGTTGGTAGTTTGCAACTGCCGAGAAACGTGTCTGCATTTTCCTGTAAATAAGATTTTAACTGTCCAAATGCGCGTGTGATTATCGTTGATCAAAAGTGTTACTTTGCTCTCTTTGCCGTGCACGACTTGTGTAAAAAAAAAAACAAAAAAAGAACTGATACTTTGTTACTCGAACGAACGTTATATGATAACGATTTTATAGTCTAAGGGCTTTATACTTTTTTTATTTTTTTCTTGTACTTATTACAAAATGGTATATCGTAGCGGTAAGGCCATTTGGGATTTTCCGTGTCGATTGTCTCGTACCGGAGTCTCGTCGAGGCGCAAAAGGCGTAATTTTTAATTTCCATACAAAAAAACAAGTCATTAATTTGTTTTTTAAGTCAAGGTTGTATGATTTCCGTTTAAATTGGAGTCAAATTGAATTTTTTTGAGTGAATGAAAAACGGAGAATTTTCTGTAAAATATAATATAGTTTCGCTTGACAGTTGTAGATACGTTGGAATTGTTGCCTTCGCTTTGCGTTTTAAGTAAGCGTACGCCAGTATCAATAAGATGCAAAATTTAATTGTTACGAATGAATTGTTGAAAAAATTAAAAAACAATTTGTGCGCATATTTTTCAATAAAAATAATTGTATAAACGAATCGTCTGATTGCCACGTGACAAAGACCATCTATTCAGTATCTTTAAGGATAAGGATAATAAATAATAAGTTAAGTTACTGCCAGAAAGGATAATGAAAATTGATTGCACAAATTTTTCATTCAGATTTTTTATACTCGTTGAAATTAAATGTTTAAGTGATGTTTTTCGTTCGATACGTAATTAATTTTAATTGGAAAAAGAAAAAGTTAACACAAAATAACCTTATTGTACATTTTTTCTCTCAACCTATAGGTACTTTTGTAAATGCCTATTGTGTACATATCTCACATGAGTATGTCGTGAAAATAATGAAGGACGGAAATAAGTCTTATGTTGATTGTTAGTGAACCACGAGTTTGTGCAGACTTGATGAGTTTTATACTATAACATAACACGATGTGCTGCTATGAAATGATTTGCTCTGTTACGAGTATCTATTAGAAATTGTGCATTTTCAAAGCCAAAAGGTCTTCCTTGAGACGACTCAATTATTAATTATTAGTTATTNGACCTTTTGGAATCCCAAACTATATAGCGGAGGGTCTATTGGAGCGGCTTCGGTAGACCCTACGCTCAACTCCTAGAAATTTACTAGGAACAATTATTTTGAGTGTATCAGCGCCATCTAGTGTTGCGGATTTTGCGGGTTGTCGCAAACTATTTTCTAGGGGAACCGTCTTGAAAAAGTCCCTAGATTCTAGGGATTTCTTGAAGAAGTAAATCACTAGACATGTATATATATATATATATGTATGTATTGTTTAATGTTTAAGCTAATGTGATTTCGATCGAACGACGTTACGCACACTCTTGATTCCTCTCCATTTTTCAGATTGTCTCCTTTTAATGAGAATACGTTTTAGTTTTTAGATTAACGCTTGTACTCGCCTTATCGATATTTTTTTTTTTTTTTATTACTTTTTGATACTTGAAAAATGCGTTTGTTTTGGTGGATATTTTGTAAAACGATTTTAAGTTAGAATTTCATGCGATCGTTTAACGAGAAAACTCCTTCGTATAGTCAAAGCTCATAACGCATGTGAATTTTTCTTACAAAAAAAATCGAAGGCACTTTTTGTAACCGTATGATATGTACTTTGTAATAAAATAGCCTTGTCGTTAGCTGTAAGTATTTTAAGCGATCGTCTTGGTATCAATAATTCATAAACCTCAAAATAGGATTTTTTGTTGTAAAAGAAACATGTCTACGTGATCCAAAGCCTCGTAATTTCTTGGCTTTGTAATTTTTTTAACGTCAAGTTCTATCACGAAACACGTAACTTGATCGATTTGAACAATGAAACACAAATATCTCGTATTTCAGCATAAAATACAGTATAAAATATATCAGGCTCTAGTTCTGGAAACCTGTTGAATCATTTTGATGCAAGAAATAACGAGCGCACAATTTTCGGGGCTTTTGACAAAAGTTGCCAAGGCTTCATTATACGACGAATAATCTCTTTACTGTCAGTATTACCATATACTAGCTCGTACTCGGCTTGTGGATGCATTACGACTTCGGTTGTCAAGGTTGGACGCACACGTTTGAGCACCGACTTTCTCATGTGTCGTCGCCACTGTCGAAATTAAAAAAATTCAGAAAAATTATTTTAACCAACGACATTTTTACAACCGTTTGTACTCGTAAAGATTCCTGCAAGTCGAGTACAATCAGAGAAAACAATAGTTGTAGCCACACTCACAATATGCCTTTTTTTTCACACACAGAGCATGAACAAAAAAGACTTACACCTTTCATTACTGTAATTTGTATTTAATGTTACATAATTCAAGTGCTGCAACCTTCAAGAAGTATGTGATAAATATCGAGTAAAGCGGAAAAAAGCGACTTTCCTATTTTTTTTTTCTTTTTTTTCTCTCAATAAAAATTATTTGGCAAAAGTGGATACGTGAATTTGTAGAGTCCCAGCGTCCTACGAGACTTTTGTCGACATTGCAATGTATTTTTACTTTGTACGTTACTCATCTTAAGATTGATTATTTAATAAAAATAATTTATGATAAAATATAGAATTACAATCATTCACCTTATTCTTGAGCTTCTGAAATGGGTTGTAAAAAAAAGCACTCTATATTTTTATTCTTTTTTTATTCAAATTTTCATATGTTTGTAATAATAATTGTTATAATGGATGTACATTTAAAAAATAGAAAAGTAAT